AATTTGTTTTATTGAAAGGGAAAGGATGTACACCTACACAAGAATTATTATATTTTTGGAAGGAGGAATGATTAAGTAAAATATTGGTCTGGGGGTGGGGTGCACGTTTAATATTTCATTTTATAATTGTAATTACTAATAATATATGTAAAAGTAATAGAAGTCAGAAACAAGTTATGTGTGTATGTATGTATATGTGTTTATTGATTAAAATATTTAAAAATTTAAAAATTTTTAAAAAAGAAAGCCAATCCTTGTTTGCCTTCAAGTGGGAAGACTTAAAAGGGAAGGCGGAAGACACAAATGTTTTGGGTGGTGCTGCCTCAGGGATTTAAAAATAGCCCCACTATTTTTGGAACCATTTTGGCTAAGGCCTTAGAGAATTGGCAGCCAGAGGCAGGAACTTCCTCCATTTTACTCCAATATGTGGACAACCTACTGTTAGGGTCCCCAGCCGAGGAGGAGTGCCTCCGAAACACAGTAGGGTTCCTGAATTTTCTGGCAGGGTATGGGTATAAGATCTCAAAGAAAAAGGCCCAAATTTGCCAGAAGGAGGTTAGGTACCTGGGATACGAACTGTCACAAGGGCAAAGGAAAATAAAGGAAGGAAGGTCACTGGCAGTGTTTCAGATAGAATGGCCTAAGGATAGAAAGCAGTTGCGGGGGTTCTTGGGAATGGGAGGGTTTTGCAGGATTTGGATTCCTAATTTTGGGATACTGGCTAAATCCTTGTATGAAGCTACAAAAGAAGGGGATTATGAGGAATTCAGGTGGACCAAGGAATGCAGAAAGGCCTTCAGGGAAATAAAAGAGGAATTGAGAAAAGTGCTAGCCCTGGGTCTCCCTGATCTGACAAAAAAAATTCAGCTGTTTATGCACAAACAGCAAGCGATGGCAGCAGGGGTCCTAACCCAACGGGTAGGGTTGTGAGACAGGCCAGTGGCATATTTTAGCAAACAGCTGGACCTGGTGGCTCGCGGTTGGCCTGCCTGAGAGCAGCGGCCACAGCTTAACTGCTGGTTAACGAGGCAGAGAAACTGATGCTGGGGCAATTGCTGAGAGTGATTGTTCCTCATGCGGTGATGGCCATACTAGAGAGTCGGGTTGCTCATTGGTTGATGAGTGGATGGAGTTGTGGAAGGAGAGGAGACTACTCTTGGCTAACAATAAGGAGATGAAACATGCCGAGGAGGTATTGAAGCTTTTGGAGGAAGTTAATAAGCCTAAAGCAGTAGCCGTAGTGCATGTGAGGGCCCACACTAAGGAGGATACAATGGTAACAAAAGGAAACAGGAGGGCAGATGAAGCTGCGAAGAGGGCAGCTAAAGAAGGGGTCCATTGCCTGCCCCAATACCTCGACAAGAGATGAACCTGGCTCAACATACGCCAGCCTATACTTACAAGGAAGAAAGGCAGTACCGGAGCTGGAATGGAGCAAAAAGGGGGCTAAAGGGGTGGTGGGAAGTGGAAGGAAAAGTGATTCTACCTGGAGGAGTACAAAGAAATGGGCCATCCCATTTATGGGCCTTCCATCGGGCCATCCACCAGAGATCAGATGCTCTGGCGGATCTTCCATAACCTCACCTTAGTAGCAGAGTTTGGCTGTTCCTCACCCAGTTCTAAGCCTCCTACATAGCTGTTTCTGTTTCATTTAATGACTGTGTTTCAAC